TAAGATTAAAAAAGTGTTTTTTTATTTATTTAACGTTTGCTTTTAGTTTAAAACGGCTACTAGGAGAAATGCTTGAAATTACATTTTTTTTACTAACACGATTACCTCAAAAATATTACAAATAAGCGCTATTGTAATCTTTTAAAACTAACGACTACTGTAATGTACTGTAATACAGTTCGCGTGTAGAACTCTTGAAAGTGTTTTACTTGATATTTAGTATTATTAAACAAGTAAAAAAAAAAGTAAAAAGTTAAATAAATTTTGTATTATCTTTAAGCTTAATTTATTTACTGCTATGCTTCAGTGGTAGAACGCAATAAAGCTTGAGTTATATGGTTAATTCTGAACAGCGTAAGATCTAACGCAGTCGACTACCTCCATTCCCGATACGTTTTAGTTTTCAGGGCTTGACATTGTCACCGCTTTTATATTTAAGATTTTTTTTTTCTCTTTTATTTTTTAGAATTTATAATACAAACAAAATATAGCAATTAAATTGTAAGCCAAGACGATCAATAAAACAATAACAGAAAAAGAAACAGTTTATATTAACCACCACTTACAATAAACAATTTTTTGTGCGTAACCTAGGTACACATACTGTCTGTAGTCTACGCGAGTGGACACATTTAAATAATACACTTTAAAACGCGATATATATTAGTTAAACTTATTTTAACATTATTTTTAACTTCGACCCGACGTTTCGGATGCTTTGCAACAGCCGTGGACACGGGGAGACTAAAGATGGAGGATGTCTCTTACGTCAAAGTAAAAATTGCTACGCTAGCGCCATCTGTTCCGTCGAAAGCACACAATTCAAATTCAAATTTTCGAATCAAAGGCGTAGAACTTATTAAATAATAAAAAAATAGGAAACACTCGTATTTCTAATTAACAAGTAGTTATTATAAGACTATTATAGGAATACAACTTTTGTAACCCAGCTATTCTATGGTATATAGTGACTTCGCGGGAAATATGAAATCTAAATTTATATATACTATATCTATATTTTGATGAAATATTCTACTCTACACGGACAAAGTCACTGATGTAGCTAATATTAAATAAATCATGTAAAACAATATGATGAACTAAAACAAACAAATAATACATCAGGTCCTGTACAAAGAAGGCCCTTGATATAATTGTCGCGGTTGTAATGTTTAACATGAAGTGTTTTATATAAATCATTTATACCCACACATTTGAGCTTTATCAAAATTATTCAGCAGGCGTGCGACGAAGAATTTGCGATTTGTGGAGCGAGATGAGTGCTCCTTACGTGTGGTCCAAGTCATAAGAACTTAGTCAAAACGTTTCAGTATAAACTTATAAATGTGAAATTTAATTAATTATGTGCATTTTCGGAGCAGATGGCTCGACTACGCAAAGAATCTTTGCGTAGTCGAGTCATATCGTGATTGTTTTATGTAAGTAAAATAGATACAATTATATATTGGCGTTTGCGTTCATCCTCTGGCATCATAAAGCGTTTTTGCCTCAATTCATCCAAAAAAATTGCTCACAGACACTGGTATAACAGTTCAAATAAAGCTATATTCCTTTAGTTTATTCAAAACTGATGATGTGAAATAAAAAGAGAAGGCTGTTAATTTTTTCGTTTCGACTTTTCACCCTTTCATAAATACCTTGTCCTTTATAGTAATATTGGTAAAATAAATTCTGTCTGTCTGTTTGAAATAAAAAATATACATTTACTTCTATTTTGGCCTTATGTTTTGGCCCTAGACAATATGAAGCTATGACTATTAACTCATTTGCATTGAATTTAAAACATCATATAATTTTGTACGAGTACAATACTTTAATAATTTTTTAGTTTAATTTAAAATTCTACATACATTAACAGTTTAAGACAAGTACAGGAATGCTTTTATAAAACACGATATTCAGGAGGAGGCTATTCAGGAGCCATCATCAGATGTTAGCTCCTCGGTTGCTCTAAGAAATATTCTTCGAGGAGCTAACATCTCTTGATGGTGCCGTCTGCTTATGATGGCGAAACGTCGAGAACCTTTTCTCGCTCACGTCGGCCTAACAACCCGAAAAACAATGACACGAAAACATTATATTTTATAAGAATTCATTAATGGATCCATAAGTTCCTAACTTGGACCTATATTACGTAAGAGTGTGCAGGATTGTCGAGAAAAGGGAATTATAGCAACACATCTCGAATACTGAAACCCTGGGCTTTGTCCCTTTATGGTCTTATATGAATTTACTTAATACATACATACACACACCATACAACACCGAACTGTATATTTCAAGAGGCCTAAAGGCATTCGATTCTATACATGCATCCTAGACTACGGCAGGAATGTTAGTTTAACTTTTTTTATCATAACTGTATTAAAAGCGAGAGATGGAAATTCCACGACGCGGGGGTCGAACTCACAACAGACATTGCATTGTGCCGTTCTTCTATGTATTTTTCTTTTGTAACAAATTAATAATATATTACAAAGATGGTGTCACACTCAACGCACACTAAAAACATAAAGTTCAAAAGTGTTCGTTACAAATGTCGCATGCGCCGGTTGTGTGCACGGCCTTTGGAGGAAAACGCGAAACACGTCACTCGAGCCGAGACTATATTATATAAACTCCTATAAACCACACTCGTATTTTATCATACTCGGGCCAGGCTGAACATCAGCACTGCTGAGACGGATACCGATAGCCATTTCTTATTTATTTATTATTTTTCGTGTATTATTGTATCACTCAATTTAGTAGTAGAACACACTTAAAGGGTTTACAACGCAAAATATATTAGTTACGTTAGCTGTAAAGCATCCGAAACGCCGGGCCGTAGTTAAAATAATTTTAAAATATGTTCAACGATTTACATCATATATTTCGCGTTTTAAACCGTTAAATTGTTTTATTTAAATTTACTTGTTATTGATTTATTGTAGGCTGTAAAAAGGGCAATAAACAAAAAAAGCTTTATACATGTTCGCGCAAGTAAAAACGGTAATGTCAAAATAAATTGAACAAAAACAACTTTTCAGGTAAGCACGTATAAAACGTAGAATTACCCTTGGCTATTATTTTAAGTGGCAAAATTATGTCCCTTATTAAATTCATCTTAAGCTCAGACCCGAAAGTTTTTCAATTAAAAACAAATGGGTCGTGAAAATTTTAATTAATTCCACCGAAACTTATCAATCAAAGTTTTAGTGAGTTTTAAAAGGTTCCCGTAACAATAGACTCGTTGAATACCTTATGTATTGTTTTGTATTAACGAAATTTTCTCCCAAAATGAAAACAGTTTTGCATTGCGAGGTTGGAATATTAATGACGTTCTCTGGGTGGATGGAAATTTGGAATCGGTATGTGCTTTAATAAAGGAACCTTATTACAAACTAGGTAATCCCACAAGTTGCAAGATTATTATTATATTATACAACTCGAACTAATAATTGGTAATAATGCATTAATTTCGACCAAATTTTATTAGGGATCGTTCAAGTATTACGTAAGCACTATAGGGGGGGTGGGGGGGTCCTGTGTTTTGCTTATTTTTGATGACATGGGGGGTAGGGGAGTCCAGATGATGATTACGTCATCGATATTTATTTACTTTTTTACACGAATGGCAACCACCTCATTTTTTATTGAAAAATGTTTACGTAAGCACGGGGGGAGGGGGTAAAAGCTTTGCTTACTTTTGCTGACAAGGGGGGAGGGGGGGGGTAAATAATTGTAATAAATCTGCTTACGTAATCATTTAACGGCCCCTTACCATAAAAACGGTTCTTGCGAGTTAATCTTAGTAGATAGATTTATCAGGTCACTTAAAGATGAATTATAGTTTTATTAAAAATCTCTTGGATTACTGTTTAAAACTGCTATTGAACCATTTTGCAACGCACACCTAAATAATTTTCTCCGTTTTTTTTCTACATTTCCCCTGGTCACAGTGTGAGGTTATGTAGCCTAGATCCTTCCTCGATAAACAATCTATCCAACAAAAGGAGATTTTTTTTCAACTCGAACCTCTTGTCTCTAGCGCGTTGAACAAACAAACTCTTCAGCTTTATAATCTAATATATAAAAATCTTGTCACAGTGTTAGTTACCGTACTCCTCCGAAACGGTTTTACCGATTTTCACCAAATTTCATATGTGAATTCAGTAGGTCTGAGAATAGGACAACATCTATTTTTCAACCCCCTAAGTGATAAGGGTTGTTTACCCTTAAGTTTTTTTTTACGAATTTTTTTTATTTTTTTTTCTAATGGTAATCAAAAATACATGAAACCCTAAATTTTCACTTTTTTATCACAAATCCCTATTTTTTATAGCAATTTTAGTAAAATTATTTATATGGCAAAACAACGTTTGCCGGGTCAGCTAGTATTAGTATAGATTTGAAAACGTGGTACACCTGTTTTTTATTAAAACCGTTATGATGACCCGTTTATGTTAGGAAAACAGTCTATACTGTCTTCCTAAAAATGTTATATCGATTATAGTAAAGTTACCTTATATTTTTGAAAGCCGAGTTAAAAATAGGTCGAAATATCTTGATAAGGACTCCGTGATAACAATCTACGCAGTCTCATCACGACTGCTTATGTAAACGACTACTCGTAATGGAAGCAAGAAAATTGCGTAAATTAAACCTAAGCATTTCTGCTTTTTTCTCTTAAGAAGTTTATGCTAATCTACTTCGCCCTAAGGTAGAATATTAATAAACACACAACCATTACATAAAGGCCTCTGTTTCAAAAACATTTATTGACAAGAAAGGTAGATATAAGTATCGTTTGAAAACATTAATATTTTTCACATGATATTGCACATGAAGGCACTATACAATTTAAAAATCGAAAATAAGTTGAAAAAAATTCGACGATGAGGTGTAGGACTCGGTAGCTCAATTGGTAGAGCAACAGCACGGAAAGTTGACGATGGCGGTTCAAGTCCTGCAAGTAGTTAGGATTCGAGAGTTCTGGCTCACTCGTCGGGACTCGTCGCTGGGGGACCCCCCCTGGCTGGCTGGTGTCTCAAATCGCGATCGCCGTGGAATCGCTGGGGGACCCCCCCCTGGCTGGCTGGGGTTTCAAATCGCGATCGCAGTGGATTCGCCGGGGGACCCCCCCCCTCAGAAATGAGGCCACCTAGCGTCTATTCGGGAAGTATTGATATCAGCGCCATCTATTGACAGTTTTCGAAAAACTATCGACCTTACCGAGCCGTGGGTCACACTCAGGAACCCTAACTGACGTTTCAGGATAATCTAAATAAAATAATTACAGATTGCGTACACATTTATTACTTCATAATACATATTTTCAAAAACATCGACTTTTACTTGTATATCATTCCATTCCCGATTTCCCGATTATGTTCATCTAATTTGCTGAACTGACTCTTTCCCTGAACTCCTGCTGGTATTGTTAGAACTTTTACTTCTGCTCGGGTTATGGGGTATTTAGCCGTTGTAGTTGACAAGACTTTTTGGTGTGCAAGTGAAACCGTTGGATTTATTCGAGCTCTACGAATAATAAGTGAAGCGTCTGTGTTACATATTTTCAATTTTAGGTCATTAGAAGCAGCCATTAAATTAAACGTTTCTCTACATCTGACTAATTTTATTGACATTTCAACTCCATTTATTAAACTTTTCTTGATTAAACAAGTCGCCGTGTAAATGTCCAATCATTTCCACTTCTTTGCTCTCTGATACAAAGGCCTGTCTCTTAACAAAATCTATGCTTATTCAGAAGTTTAAAAGGAAATAAATAAAACTCTTTGTTAGATCTCTATATATTTATTTATCGTTAACAAATTCATGTCTAAACAATTTACAAACAATCATTACTTATCTATATTTACAATTCCTTACAACTACTAAATTACAAATACAACTATTTCGCTTCATTACTATTTACAAGGTACACAACAATAATCACTCTTTATTATTATACAATAAAATAAAGAGTACAATACAATTAAATTGTTTATTTTATTCCGTAATGGCCCCATGCTAACGTATACATCTTGTTAGGTAAAATAAATCTTTTTGTGTCATCATAAGACAAACAAATTTTATTTAGTTTTTGAGTAAAGATGGTATGTTTGATTGATCTAAACCTATGCATAGTGCTATATAGTATTTTATGGTTAAAAAGACATGATTTGTAATTTTCGATGGTCAATTTTTTTGTTACACTTTTATTTACGCCTTTTGCTTTGGTTGTTATTGAGGTATCTGTTTGAATTGCATACATTTTTGATCGCAAACCTACAAATTCTTTCACAATTAATCCTTTGAATTCATCTTTAAAAAATCCTAATTTTTTCTTATTTAATTTGGGAAAATTATAAACGTTATCATCGGGATAATCAGAGGTATCAAAATATGAACTCAGGTCAGGTTTAATATCTTCATAAAAGTCTTGTGTAAAAATTTGGTATATAAAGCTATCCGTATCTGTATACAAAAGCTTACAATTATTTTGAAATTTTTGTAACATATAATTATAATGAAAATCATACATCAGGGTTTTTGATATATCTAAAATACAAAAACCTAAATAAATTGGTTTGTCGTAATTTACTTTAGTTTTATTAAGCTGAACTGCTACTAAATTTTCAGAAAAAATTGATAAACTGTTAAATTCAGGTTTTGATATTAACTGTTGTACACCCAAACTTTTACCTCGATTTTCCCAATGTGTTAACAGTTTTACATTTACTCTTTTGTCTACATTTTCCATAGTTTTTCCAAACACAGAATTATTCATCAATTTATAAAAATCTTTTTCAAATTCCGAAACCGCAACGCTTCTTAAATTAGTGTTTAAATCAATGTATTTTTTCAACCAGGGACTTTGACGAAACTTTAATATCCTATGAATTTTGATTAGTTTAATACCCATTTTTAAACATTGTTTTAAATTTCTGTAATGAATAATGTACTTAGTTTTATTTTTTAAATTAGGAATAAGTTTTTTTTCTTTCGAGTTACCGATATTTACATTTTCGGGGCACATTGGGAAATCTGAATGTTTGTCGTGGAGATCTTGAGAATACTCTAAATCGACTTCTAAAATGTATCCATACTCTGATGTATCAGGAATATTAAAATTTGTATCCAAACTAACCCACTTGAACCCTCCCTCAGGTAAATATTGTGACATAGCCCACCCATAAAGATTATTAGCATCTAAATATATTATATATGACGAAGGAATATTTTTATCAAAATCTTCTAAATATTTATTATTAGATTTAGCATATCTGTTGCTGCATTGAGATATGCCACCTCTAATGCCTGCTTTAATAAAAGCGATTTGATCAATATCAGTTAATAATTCCAATTTTCCGCTACCGGCTTTTGCGCGCGAAGCAGTGTACCTCCAGTACTTAGCGTAAATAAATAATCCCTAAAAGTGTGGTTAAAGTTAATGATTTAGTGTTAATAGTGCGTGTAGGAACTGTGAATTACTGAATCTTATATAATTAAGCTCTCGCACTTAAAATTACGTGAAATAACTACGAATTTATCGAGAGATTAGTGCTGTGTTAAAGCGTACGAACTAAACGCGTAAGCGACGTGTATTCCCCGGCGCTTATGTCCTTTTTGCCGGCAACTTCGGATCAACTTCGTTAAGCGACCGTCTTTTTATTGTGAAACGACCGTCTTGTTATCAATCGCTGAAATGGATTGCAATAAGTGTATAAAGGCTATTCCTGATAAAGATGGCATCAAATGCACGGGCTGTAGCGCGCATATGCATTATTATTGCGTAGGGTTGAGTGAAAGTGATTTCCGAAAAATATTGCCTATGAATAAAATGAAGTGGAAGTGCCCGACTTGTAAGCCTAAGAAGCAATCCCCCAACACTTTGACGTCTACGTCGCCAGGCCGCAATACGCCCCCGTCCTCGGTTTTAAATGTTGACACCGATGCGCTTACGAAGTATTTAGACTCGAAGCTTGACAGTTTGCGATTACAATGGCGTGAAGATGTACAGGCTGCGATTAGCGACGTTACGAAATCGTTCAAAGAGGACCTCGACAAACTATCGTTACGTATGGACACCTGGGAGCAGCGTCTTGATCGAGTTGAGACGGCACAAACCAACACCACGTCCGATGACACGCTTTTGCAACAAAACGTCGCCCTTCGTAACGAGCTAAATGCCTTAACTGATAAGTTCAATGACCTAGATCAGTCGTCTCGCAGTTGTAACATAGAAATGCAGAACATTCCTCAGTCTAAAGGAGAAAATCTCATTCAAATATTCTTGAATGTTGGCAAAGTTCTAGGACTTGAGCTTTCATCGAGCGATATTAGGAGCGTGCATCGTGTAGCCCCCGCATCCTCCTCACAGCGTCCTAAAAACATAATTGTACAGCTGTCGTCCAAGAGATTGCGCGATGACGTAATTGCCGCAGCGCGCGCTAGGCGCTCCCTCACCATTGACCAGCTCTTCGGACAACCCCACTCATCAATAAATAATAACATCGCCCATAATACCCGTTTCTATATAAATGAGCACCTCACACTTAAAAATAAAATTTTATATTCCAAAGCCCGCCACTTAGCTAAAGAAAAGTCTTATAAATATGCGTGGATTAAAAATGGATGTATCTTATTGCGTAAGACAGATGAATCCAAGGTGTTACAAATACGTTGTGAGGACGACCTATGTAAAATACTGTGACTAAATGTTGTCGTAATTTTAAGTTTAATTGTTACTATAATACTCTTTATTATTATTTTGATATTTTTTTGTGTTGCGGAGCTTTTGAGCGCGATAGTAAGTCAACGTCTTGTCTTGTACATGTTGTGCAATGTATTATATATTTTTCTAATTGTATCGTTAATAATTTACCTACTATTTTTTATCAAATTACCTCGTTTTGCTTTTATTAGACATAAGTATGGATAGTCAAAACAATTTATCCATTTTCTACCATAATTGTGGAGGTTTAAAAAGTAAATTAAATGAATTAAAACTTAACCTGATTACATGTAGCTATGATGTCGTAATTTTAGTCGAAACGTGGCTTAACGCTTCTATCCTTGATTCTGAGCTTCAGACAGATAATTACCTGATGTTCCGTCGTGATCGTGATTTACTCTTATTTGGCAAAAGGGGAGGTGGGGGTCTCTTGGTCTTTATAAAAAAATCTATCAGAGCAATTAGAATGCCGGAGCTTGAGATGCGAGTTGTTGAGGAAATATACCTATACCTTCCGGCTTACTCTTCACTTTTGTTAAACGCATGTTACATTTCTCCTTCATCTCCTCGATCTCTTTATGATACATATTTTAATAATCTTTACCAAATACACTCTAGTGCCCGTTACCTAAATTATTTATTTGTTGGCGATTTTAATTTACCTTACCTGATTTGGTCTGAAGGGTCCGAAAAGTTACTCGAGTCAGCTACCACTGAACAGTCAAAGCAATTATTATACGCGCTTTCTTTTTTAAATTTAAATCAGATAAATTGTGTTTTTAACGAAAATAATAAACTACTTGATCTGATACTGACGACACTTCCGGCATCGGTGACATCTTCGTGTGACCCACTTCTAAACCCTGTACCACATCATCCTCCCCTTGAATTAGTATGCACGGTTAAAGGTTCACGTATGTTACCTCATGCGTCTAATTATAAGTGGAACTTCTTCAAAGGTGATTATGATCTTATTAACACTTCAATAAAAGATACTGATTGGCATTATCTTCTTTCTCATCTTCCAGCGGACTCAGCAACTGATGTTTTTTATCATAAAATTTACAATATTATTGATACATATGTACCATATTATAAAATTAAAAGTAAGCATTTTCCAACCTGGTTTTCACAAGGTCTAATTCGTTCATTAAGGCGTAAATCAAAGTGCTGGTCGCGTTGGAAAACATATGGAAGTGCACGCGATTATCAAGAATTTTCTTTGCTACGTACTCGTGTAAAATCTCTCTTAACTTTATGCTATAATCGCTACATCGAGTCAATAGAAAAAAGTCTTAAGTCGAATATTAAGCATTTTTGGAAATACACCTCTGAATTAAAACAATCCAATTCTGGTTATCCACATTGTATGATATACGGTAACTGTACATCGGACAATCCAACTGTAATTGCTGAAATGTTTTCTCAATTCTTTAACTCTGCTTTAGTATCGGTTTCTCGTAATGCATACAATATCTCAGACATTACCGCAAATAGCTGCGAAGACGCTTCGCATATCTCTTTAAGTGAAATAAGTCTATCGGAAGATGATATTGCACTTGCGCTTAAAAAACTTGATCCAAACAAGGGCCCAGGCCCTGACAAGATTGGCCCATTCTTCCTTAAAAAAACATTTAGTAGTCTATGTCTTCCGCTTTATATTATCTTTAATAAATGTTTAACAACTGGCACATTCCCGTCGTGCTGGAAATTAGCTTTTATTACTCCTATTTTTAAGTCTGGTCGAAAAAATAATGTTAGTAATTATCGTCCGATTTCGATCTTATCCTCTATACCGAAAGTCTTCGAAAAATTAGTACACCATCATGTATACTCGGCTTTGAAACAAAAAATTCTTGAACAGCAACATGGTTTTGTTAAAAATAGATCAACTCTTTCAAATCTTCTTGTTTTCAGCAATTATTTATTTTACAATTTAGATCGCAAAAAGCAGATTGAAACCATCTATACTGACTTTAAAAAAGCTTTCGATAAAGTTGACCATTTGCTGCTACTGCAAAAGCTGTACTTTAACGGTATTAAGGGGAATCTGCTCCGATGGTTTGTGGCCTACCTCTGTGGTCGGAAACAATCAGTAGTAGTAAACGGCTATATTTCTGATTGGACAAATGTGACGTCAGGCGTGCCCCAGGGTTCGATTCTCGGTCCCTTGTTATTTATAATATTTATTAATGATATTTCCACTTGCTTCAAACATTGTAATTTCTTACTTTATGCGGATGATTTAAAAATATATTATAATATTAGTTCTACTGACGCTAGCCTAATACAGGAAGATTTAAATAGATTTGATGCATATTGTAAACTTAACAAACTTTCGCTAGCTTATGAGAAATGTAAACATATGACCTATACAAGAAATGTTAATATAATCCCAACCAACTTTTACTTAAATGATCATAAAGTCGAGCCCGTGACCTGTGTTTGCGATCTCGGCGTATATTTTGACACAAAATTGATTCTAGATAAGCACATTGAACACACTCTAAATAATTCGTACCGTATGTTAGGCTTCATTACTCGAAATTCGAAGAACTTCAAAACCAAGGATGCTTATTTATGCCTTTATAAAGCGTTAGTACTCTCCCGATTAGAGTATGCTTGCGTTATCTGGAATCCCTTTTACGACATATACAAAAATAAAATTGAGATGGTGCAAAAGAAATTCCTTCGTATGTTAAGCTATCGCTTATTAGGACATCGTTGTCACTATAAAGATCTGATGGCACGTTTTAACTTCCTTTCCCTGAGTCAACGCCGTGAGTTTCATCTTTTAACAACATTAAGAAAGATATGTTGTGCCGAAATAGATTGTCCCGATTTACTTCAACAGATTTACTTCCACATCCCCACTCGATCTACGCGTACCAAAAACTTATTCTATGTACCAACGACTAGATGTAACACTGGTAAACGTGCCCCGCTCCACAATATGGCTTCATTGCATAATAACGCGTTGAATGATGTTGACTTGTTTTCGTGCTCGCAATTAACGTATAAATATAAGTTAAAAAAGTACCTAACCTGTAAAGATATCACACATATCTAAGTATTAAAGAATACCGTTTTTGTCATTTGTCAGACTGTTTCTTGCCTTAAAAGCTTTTTCATATTTCTAAATCAAATGTTCTCAGAGAAACTTGTTAAGGTACTGTCTCTGAGTACATGCCTGCATGCATTTGGATTTTTATACAATTTTATTTTTCCCTAGACAATAAGAAAATTAGTTTTAAGTTATCATAAGAGACTGTACTGTTTAGTTTCCTTAATAAATAAATAAATAAAAAAATAAATTTTACATTTGTTTTTTTTAGCATAGCATCCCAACTTAGCCCCGGAGCCGTGTAGTAATGAGCTGGATCTAAACCATATGTTTTTATACAAAGCCTTCGAAAATTTTCAAATACATCTGTTAATAATAAAACGTCAGTTTTCAAATATAAATTTGAATAATCTAACATATTTTCACAACCAAAATGTTGCCACACATCTAGAGCTCGATTATAATCAGCATCAGAAATATCATTGTTCGTAAGTGAACTTCGAAAATGTTTTTTGTTTGGTAAGAAAGTTAGATCGAAACATTCAAGTGATGTCATATATTCGTATGGAAAGACACCTTTCTGACGAAGTCTATCAAAGTCATTTTGATTTGGAAAATGAAGCCCAAGCTCATGAAATTCATCATCTTTTAAATTTTTCGTCAACTGATCAAGACTACACGGTAAAAATTTAAACGAATCTACAAATCTCAATGTTACTTTATGATTGTTTATTGTAAAGTGTTTTGCGAACGAAATATACTTTTCTTTATTTTGAGGAATCAAATCTATATCACCTTCGAAAGAATTCAATCCATGTACAATAAAATGAGCATCATAACAACTTAAATTGTGTATAAATACCGGAATATACCAAGGTGCACGGAACTTTCTTTCACAATTATTATGAGCAATGCCTATAAAGTCACCGGTTTGCCAATCGTAGACAACAACTTTATCGTCATGTAACATAGATTCACAAACGTAACAAATTTTTGTTTCAGTAATAATATTGTATTGGTCAGACAATGGTTTTGCACATTTTTGAAAATTTATTTTTCTGCAAATTAACTTTAAATCGTCATATAAAAAGTTTATAAATTGTTGAGCGCAATTTTCTCCACTGTATGTTTTATACTTAGATAAACTATTGTCATATGAACACTTAATATAATAGCCAAAACTATAGGGTTCGTGCATTTGAACATTATTTGTAAATGGTTTTGATGGGTCGTTATCACATGCTTTTACCGGTTTTAAGAAAGCTTCAAAATCAGCGTATACGACAAAGGGAATTTTTAGTTTTTTATGAAACTTATCAAACTGGAGTATATTACTAGCTACTGGTTGTTGAAAACAATTCTTCAGAGTTTTTGTACTGCTTGGTAAATAAGTTGTTACGTGGAAGCAGTCATTTTGTTGGTGATTTTTTAATCTTTCATGAGTTGTGAAGGATATCAAACAACCATCACATATGTACACGGCTCCATTTCTATTAGTTAGTTGATTACTTACGAGACGCGATAGGTTCTTAATGTAACAATAGTGACCATTTGAAGAATTTTGTATGTATAGCAAATTTATGTGAACATTTTGTCTTTGTTTGGTAAAATAAAGTGGGCCAATAACGGAATGTTTCTTACAGCTGACATCAAACTCTAAACCAAAAACGTTAATACTTATATTATTCAATTTTTCTACTTTACTTATCTCTTTTAACTGAACTGGGAATGGGACATTATTAAATTTAAGTTTACTTTCATGTTTATTATAGGAAGAGGGTCTTTCCGAATTTTTACTAACTGGATACAAAGCCGAAAGTAATGCCCATTTAAAACATAAGTTATCATAATTTTTAACATTAATAACAGCTTTTTTATCCTTAATGTCTTTGGGCAAATCAATATAAGAACTACCGCGTAACGGAGTATATTTATTTATGTTTAACTCTATGTGATTTATTTTGATCAAACTCCAACCGCTATCTTTTTTCTCAAACGCGCTTAATTTATTCCCGAACACATTACATAAAGTCGGTATTAAAAAATTTAAATTGTCGGATTTAGTTAAAATAAAATTTTCTGTCTGAAAGTCAAACGAATTTTTTAAATCTTTAGATTGTTGTTCAAAATCTGCGTATAAAACGAAATTGACCTTTACTGACGTATGTTGATCTATTGCACTATTTAGTAAATGAATTATCTCTTTTTGAACTTTTTCTAAAAATATTTCCGGCGTTTGAAATTGTAAATCTAACTCACGTTTTGCTTGGATTTTATATGACACAATTCTATTTTTAAATGCTGTTTGTATAATGGATACATTTTCAAAAGAGCCATGAGTCATTAAACAATTGTTTCGATGATTTTTGCTTTTAAGGTGATTACTATAATATCGCTTAGTAACTACAATATTACATATATTACACAGTACCTTCTCTAAGTTTCCATGCAAAGTTGATGATTGCTCTGCTGCTGCACTACCACGGGATGTCGTTGGTTCTTCAAGCCGTACTCGCTTTGCACTCACGTTGTTGATTTCACCACTGTTTATTCTTTTTAATACACCACTTCCTACTTGATCACAAATGCGAGTCAACTCTTCGTCATATTCGGGATCAAATTTCTGATCTTGTTCAAAGTTTTCAGAAACTTGTAACAAAGCCAAGTCTTCAAAAACGTCTTCCAATTCAGAAATATCAACTTCCTCAGAGAAAACAAACCCGGAATGCTGGTTAACTGCCATTTTTATTGTATACGGAGCTATGTCACGTGTAATAGATTATATGCTAATAGTTGTATCCTTCAATTTAGCAGTTGTTGTTGAAAACTGTTTTTTTACAAGAATCCAACGATGATATTTCCTTACTTATGTTATATATAACTTGTTTTACCGTATTTAAATGAGAGCTTGTATCTTTGGCATAATATTTAGTCCTTATTTTAGCATGTTTCCATTGCTGATTTTTAGGTATCTTTGATATTGCTTTCAAGTCATACAATTCGATTTTAAGTAAGTAAGTGGCTGTTAATATATCATTTTGATTCGTTGTTATAAATGCAACACATCCATTAGGTTGAGCCCGAGAAACCGATGAACACTCTGTTGGCTTTTTCTTACTTGGGCTCGAAAAATTGAAAATTTCATCAAAATTTTCATCTTGGGTAGATTTTCTTTTCACGGCTTTCCTCTCGATTACTAATTCGTTACTAGTTTCTTCATCAGATAGTACCATGGGGTAATAATATTGCTTGAAAGTGTTTTCTTCGAGATTATTAGGCTGCAAAAAACTTTAAAATTAGTTTCAAATATTAGCAAAACAATTTGAACAAGTGAAACTTACCTCCATTTCTTCCTCTCCAAAATTATTTAAAACTGAAACCTTATTCACACACGAAATATTTGAACTGTTTTCTAAAGAGCTCCTGCCTTCTTATATATCCCAAGGAATAAAAGATGCCTCGTTAGTTTATCAAACAAATAACATTAATGACAAGTAAGTGTAATTACTTATTTATTTGCTTTTCTTTTTGGGACAATTACCAAAACCCAATGTGCCCCGAAAATGTAAATATCGGTAACTTAAAAGAAAAAAAACTTATTCTTAATTTAAAAAATAAAACTAAGTACATTATTCATTACAGAAATTTAAAACAATGTTTAAAAATGGGTATTAAACTAATCAAAATTCATAGGATATTAAAGTTTCGTCAAAGTCCCTGGTTGAAAAAATACATTGATTTAAACACTAATTTAAGAAGCGTTGCGGTTTCGGAATTTGAAAAAGATTTTTATAAATTGATGAATAATTCTGTGTTTGGAAAAACTATGGAAAATGTAGACAAAAGAGTAAATGTAAAACTGTTAACACATTGGGAAAATCGAGGTAAAAGTTTGGGTGTACAACAGTTAATATCAAAACCTGAATTTAACAGTTTATCAATTTTTTCTGAAAATTTAGTAGCAGTTCAGCTTAATAAAACTAAAGTAAATTACGACAAACCAATTTATTTAGGTTTTTGTATTTTAGATATATCAAAAACCCTGATGTATGATTTTCATTATAATTATATGTTACAAAAATTTCAAAATAATTGTAAGCTTTTGTATACAGATACGGATAGCTTTATATACCAAATTTTTACACAAGACTTTTATGAAGATATTAAACCTGACCTGAGTTCATATTTTGATACCTCTGATTATCCCGATGATAACGTTTATAATTTTCCCAAATTAAATAAGAAAAAATTAGGATTTTTTAAAGATGAATTCAAAGGATTAATTGTGAAAGAATTTGTAGGTTTGCGATCAAAAATGTATGCAATTCAAACAGATACCTCAATAACAACCAAAGCAAAAGGCGTAAATAAAAGTGTAACAAAAAAATTGACCATCGAAAATTACAAATCATGTCTTTTTAACCATAAAATACTATATAGCACTATGCATAGGTTTAGATCAATCAAACATACCATCTTTACTCAAAAACTAAATAAAATTTGTTTGTCTTATGATGACACAAAAAGATTTATTTTACCTAACAAGATGTATACGTTAGCATGGGGCCATTACGGAATAAAATAAACAATTTAATTGTATTGTACTCTTTATTTTATTGTATAATAATAAAGAGTGATTATTGTTGTGTACCTTGTAAATAGTAATGAAGCGAAATAGTTGTATTTGTAATTTAGTAGTTGTAAGGAATTGTAAATATAGATAAGTAATGATTGTTTGTAAATTGTTTAGACATGAATTTGTTAACAATAAATAAATATATAGAGATCTAACAAAGAGTTTTATTTATTTCCTTTTAAACTTCTGAATAAGCATAGATTTTGTTAAGAGACAGGCCTTTGTATCAGAGAGCAAAGAAGTGGAAATGATTGGACATTTACACGGCGACTTGTTTAATCAAGAAAAGTTTAATAAATGGAGTTGAAATGTCAATAAAATTAGTCAGATGTAGAGAAACGTTTAATTTAATGGCTGCTTCTAATGACCTAAAATTGAAAATATGTAACACAGACGCTTCACTTATTATTCGTAGAGCTCGAATAAATCCAACGGTTTCACTTGCACACCAAAAAGTCTTGTCAACTACAACGGCTAAATACCCCATAACCCGAGCAGAAGTAAAAGTTCTAACAATACCAGCAGGAGTTCAGGGAAAGAGTCAGTTCAGCAAATTAGATGAACATAATCGGGAAATCGGGAATGGAATGATATACAAGTAAAAGTCGATGTTTTTGAAAATATGTATTATGAAGTAATAAATGTGTACGCAATCTGTAATTATTTTATTTAGATTATCCTGAAACGTCAGTTAGGGTTCCTGAGTGTGACCCACGGCTCGGTAAGGTCGATAGTTTTTCGAAAACTGTCAATAGATGGCGCTGATATCAATACTTCCCGAATAGACGCTAGGTGGCCTCATTTCTGAGGGGGGGGGGTCCCCCGGCGAATCCACTGCGATCGCGATTTGAAACCCCAGCCAGCCAGGGGGGGGTCCCCCAGCGATTCCACGGCGATCGCGATTTGAGACACCAGCCAGCCAGGGGGGGGTCCCCCAGCGACGAGTCCCGACGAGTGAGCCAGAACTCTCGAATCCTAACTACTCCTGCATGAGTTGAACATTTTTTCAATTTATTTTCGATTTTTAAGATATAAGTATCGTTTAACGGTTTAAAATGAGAAATGTATTCTCTGTTTAAACAAGATGCGTTATGGACCTATTTTGGCTTTGGATATTCTGAAATCCCCAGACAGAAAGCGAAACGAGACTGAACTTCACGGGTTATTCATCTGTGGATGGTAGTTAGTTACCGAACGGAATTTCGATACACCTACATATATATACACGACTTATTTAATACCCAAAATTATTTAATTGATTAGTACGAGACACGCTGGACCCTGTGGGGATCGCACCCACGACCCGTGGATCAAAAATTAAAAATTACTACAGAAATTCTACTCGTGAACAAATATTAAGAAAATATGAAGGAGATAGCATCTCAAACAATTCTAAAGTACTAATAATGTCTAGTAGAGCTGCAAACTTGGCTATGATGATGGCCAATGAAAAGTTTGAGACTTAAATTTGTTTAATGAGACACTACGGGTTTTGAAGTACCCTCTAGTACTTATAGTTTGTAAACAGGAAAATTGAAGCATAGAATATTAAAATACAAAAGCCGTGATCGTCTAGTGGTATATACTCCGGGCTTCCATTGACAAGATTGATAATTCTCTAATTCTTATTGTTAGAAAACTGGTATGTCCTAGAACTAAAAATTATATAATACTTGTCTATCATTTGTAAAGGAAGTTCATCTAGGGCTCGATTTGTGCCGTGGGAAGTTAATTTAAGCTGTTAAGTGCTGATGATATAAATTTGTTATAGGAAATACATAATAGAAAAGAGAGCTAAAGTTCTAAATATTTTAGCTTTTAAAGCTGTAGGTCTTTATTTCTATGTAACCAGAGGGTAACTTATTAAAAATAATAATAATCTTTAAACAACTATGCAACTGACAACCTATCCGTTCGAGAGCCAACGAGCGAATGCCTCAAACACGGTCTCAAACATGTCAGAATAGTATTATTTTAATGGATTTTCTGACCTTGCTGTCAAAATGCACGAATAATTTAATTCAAAACAAAGTAGATTTTGCAGTTCATGAGGTAATTCGAGTTTACTAGTTTAAGTTATACAATATAAGCCATAACAGACAGTTTTCATTCGTACCTTCAAGGTATAAGCTTACAAAATGTTCAATGTTTACGTGTGTACTGTCTGCATGGAAATTACAATTTCGTAAATCAAATTTGTGTGATTGATTTATGTATATTTTGTTCCTTTCGAAGCGATAACGTCTATTTTTTTTTCTTTTATTACATGAATATTTCACACATATCTTTAATGACTGTTGTATATTTCTTATTACACTTATACCACAAGGAACAAAGGTTTCGTCTCAATATGTGGGGCATCGATTTGATTTACTCTCATACCCAGGTAAAAACTATTCATTATTAATTTACTTATGATTACGCGATACATTGATATAAAACACATTTAACGGTATAAAACGTAAAATTAAATAATTAGCCGGTTATTATAAGTTCTGGAAAGCATCCGAAACATCGAACCGTAGTAAAAATAAGTAAAGTAGAAATTACAATTTTAAATCGTAAAAAGTGTTTTGTTTGAACCTTGAATTGTTTCCCCGGGATGCGAACCCAAGAATTAACCATCTAACCATGGAGACGTTGGGAAGCGTGCTATCTTAGTAAATTAAGTCGAATATTGAAGAAAACTATTAGGAGGAAAGGGCGTCAACTTTAAAGACTTGGCCAATTAAACAAAATTAAGAATGAGAAATTTGGATTCGTTGCTGACGCTACATTTGGAGCGCTAGCAATGCGATTATTCCGTGCAATAAATACTCGGGCGTGCAAAATTAATTTATTTCATTATGATCTCCGGCATGAAATATTTTGCTCATTTATTATGAAAACTGGGAATACTGAAAGTTTGCAGATTTCCATATGTTTTATTAAATAGCTACGGAAGCGAAAAAGTTATCCCTCGTTGAGTTACTGTTATTATTAATAGTCGAGTTCCACTTTAACAATAATTACAGTGCGTGTATAGCCGATTTTGTCCAGAATTTATTATAAAAATAATAGTTTATTGCTATTATATTATAATTAACAAATAACAGATAATCTGTAAA